TGGTGTCCATGGCAAGAAGAATTTTTAGGTTCTGTTTATTAGAAACCTATGTTTGATTTCTTCTATAAAATTAGAATAATAATGCTAACCTTCTAAGGTACTTGTAAGATGGTGTAGGTCAGTGATTCTCAATTGGGGGTGATTTAGTCACCCCAGGAGACATATATTTGACAAGGCCTGGAGACATTTTTGGATGTTCACGGAAGCTCCACCACAGAATCATCTGGCCCAAAATATCAGTAGTGCTGAGGTTGAGAAATCCTGTAGTATACAAAAATGCATAGAACTTGAAAGGTTCAAAGCGATTTTATTTTGCTCTACACGTTGGAGTTCACCTCTTTGGACAACCTAAATATTAATAATTACACAGAGAATAATAGTTTATATTTATTATGTTCTTGTAGGTATCAGGCAACATAAAAGCTTTTCACAAATACTATCCTATTTAATTCTCTCAAGAATACTATGAGATAAGAACTATTATTATTGTCATTTTTCAGGCGAGGAAAGGAAGGCATAGAGTTTAAGATCCTGCAGCTACTCTGTGTCAGAGGTGGGATGAAAAGTCAGGGGCTATGCTTTTGACCATTATACTGTACTGCCTTCTCTATGGATGGAGTCTCCAGCTTAAGGTCTAAAAGGATTTCTGCCCTCAGTATTCGGTAGGAATTCACACTGAAAATATGGAGGAAATTTTAGCCTATTTAATGAAAAAAAATGTCATCATTGCCTACATGTTTGTAATTTTACACTTGCACTAATTTGAACAAAGATACAGTATACTGGCTGACATAATATAGGCTGTCGTTGATCCAAGGATTACAACAAATCTATTTGATGTAATTTTGTGGGATTCCGAAGAAGCTCAAAGAAAACCCTGAGAGTTTGTTTTCATTTAGAATTGAACTTGTCATAGCTGATCAACACATGGTGATCTCGATGGGACTTTTCTCCTCTTAAGGTGGATAAGCAGTGACAGTTTGCCCCATGTAATCCTATTAGGAGATTTCTTCAGGACCACATCCTCTTCTTACATAATTATAAAAGAACCACTCGTAAGGAGAGTTCAGAGGCCAGAGAGCAAAGCCTGGGGCAAAGGATTGGCTGATGGGGCTTTTACTGTTCTTACAGAAGACACAGTTCAGGCAAGTGGAAAATCTACAATTTGAAAGCATGATAGTGTCCCGGTCTGTACTGAGTACTTTGCTAAGCTCCCAGTGATTATTAACTTTGAGGCCGTTAGCTGAGGAACTTTCCAAATAAATTCTGTCATCCTCAAGTATCGGCTAATTGTTTCCAGGGCCTTAAAACTTAGACTGTAAACCCAGTTAAGAAACATCTATTCTCTTTATTTAGGAACTTAGAACCCTGGGGTAGCTGGTTTTCTATCTTAGGAAATTATTGTGTGCTACTATCACATGTTGAAGATACTTGTGGAATGCTAAAAAATGTGTTAGGTTCTATCCTTTGGTCTCACTTTCTTGCCTCCTGTGAAGATCAGATGCTAATAACACCAAACAAATATTTCTTCTTAAATAAATCATGTTTTGTAAAAGTGGGCTCCCCTGATCACAAGTAACTTTGCAAGCTCCTACAGGGCATTAGTGCCTGTCATGCAGACATGCATTTTCAAGGGTCTGTTGGGGCCAAGTAACACATATGGTATAACCATTGCACTACTCCACCTCCAAGATGTCATTTACACATAAGATGTCATTTGAGGCTGTCTCCGGGGGACAAAAGTGATGAGTATGCCTTATGCTTTCACTCTTCTTGAAGAGTCATTGGGCATCTTCTTCCATTTATTTTATATTTAATAAATTAAAATATTCGAATGGTTAAATGTTACTGTGTTTAGGGCAATGCCTCTCAAATTTTAACGTGCACACCCAGGTTCTTGCTAACGTGCAGATTCTGCCTTTCAAACAATTTCCCAGCTCAAGCTCATGCTACTGGACCAAGATCACACTTGAATAGCTAGCTATTAGGGAGCATTGAGATGGCTTAGAAATTTGAAATCTGAGCTTAAGGATGATGTCAGGCTGATGGCATTAAACTAATTTTCCCTATACTATCCTTGGCTGTATTATAAATTATTCTTTAAGTTATATAGGGAGATTTTTGCTGGGTTGGAGGGATGGCTCCTGTCTAGTGGGAAAACATATATTTGTACGTTTTAACAAAGTAAATAATGTTTGATTTTTAATAAAGTATCATATCTCAATCTGTTTTGGCGTGGAGAAAACTCCCTATATCTCCCCTTCCCTTTTTAAGGTTTTTGAACAACAAAACATGAATTTTACTGTTTCAGGTCATCAGTGGCATTTTTTTAGGTGGTTCACAATTTTTTTTTAAGTTGTAGAACAAATTTACAATATCCTTGACAGTTAAACAGCATTTGTGGTGTGTTTTTTTTCTTTTTTAATTATGTTTCTAAAGATAGCTAAGGGAACAATTTCAAATAGTTCCTCTGTGCTTCTAGATATGAGTTGTTTCAATTTCTGTCTTTTGGTGAGAATTAAGAAACTCATAGCTTGCCATGTCCTGTCATGTTGGCTTATTTTGTAAGGAAATAAAATCTGGCACCTTTCAATGATCTGCTTTACCTCTCTGATCTAAAAACAGATGGAACACATTGTAGAGCAGGGAGGCATGATTACTATCTGGGTATTGCCTTGACTTCCCCAACTGGGTCTTCTATCGTTTCAAAGTGTGCTAAAGGTCTTTCTTTAAAGCAGGAAAAAAGGGGTGCCCGGGTGGTTAAATTGATTAAGCATCTAACTCCTGATGTCAGCCCAGGTCTTAATCTCAGAGTCATGAGTTCAAGCCCGGTACTGCTCTCCACTCTGGACATGGAACCTACAAAAA